AGACACGCTGATACTGGAATAGACACAGTGCTGGAATAGACACGCTGATACTGGAATAGACACACTGATACTGGAATAGACACAGTGCTGGAATAGACACACTGATACTGGAATAGACACAGTGCTGGAATAGACACACTGATACTGGAATAGACACGCTGATACTGGAATAGACACAGTGCTGGAATAGACACACTGATACTGGAATAGACACGCTGATACTGGAATAGACACACTGATACTGGAATAGACACAGTGCTGGAATAGACACAGTTATACAGGAATAGATACAGTGCTGGCATAGACACACTGCTGGAATAGAAACATTGATACTGGAATAGACACAGTGTTGGAATAGATACAGCGATACTGGAATAGACACAGTGTTGGAATAGACACAGTGCTGGAACACACTGATACAGTACTGGAATAGACACAGGGATAGAATACACTGATATTAGAATAGACACAGGGTTCAAATACACTGACACAGGGATAGAAAGAGCTCTTGAAGAAACAGCACACAGGAATAGCTGTGGGTGAGATGAGACGAGTCAGTGATCAGTAACTCTCAGTGTCTGTGTTGTCTTTACAGGAGCAGCCCCAGGGAGACCACTAACAGTAAGTGAGGCCTGTCTCTCTCTCACCTGTCTCCCTCTCCTGCTTGTCTGTCTGTCTCTCACCTGTCTCCCTCTCTCTGTGTCTGTGTTTCTCTGCCAGGCTCTGTCATGTATGAAAACTCTGAGGGGCTGAAGGATCACATGATGTACATGAACCTGCCTGCTGGTCACCAGGTCAGTCTGTCACACTGTAGCCACACTGACCGCTGTCTAACTGTCCACACACCTGTCTCTCCTCTCCTGCCTGTCTCTCTCTCACACTGTAGCCACACTGACCACTGTCTAACTGTCCACACTCCTGTCTCTCCTCTCCTGCCTGTCTCTCTCTCACACTGTAGCCACACTGTCAGCTGTCTAACTGTCCACACACCTGTCTCTCCTCTCCTGCCTGTCTCTCTCTCACACTGTAGCCACACTAACCACTGTCTACCTGTCCACACACCTGTCTCTCCTCTCCTGCCTGTCTCTCACACTGTGCTCACTGTCAGCTGTCTGACTCTCCACACACCTGCCTGTCTGCAGACGAGAGGTCTATCAGGCTCCAGCTGGTTTTGTGGTGATCATGAGATAAGAGACCCAGCCTCTCAGACAATGGGCTGAGTGTGAGCAGGTTGTTCATGAACAGAGAGAGAGGACCTT